CGAAGGTCGATCGGCGAGCCAGCTTCAGGCGGTCGCGCGAGGCCGGCAGGGGCGGGCCAAGGCGGCTATTACACCCCCCGCGAAGGCGGAAGCGGCGGCGGAGGCGGCGAGGGCGGCGGAGGCGGCGAGGGCGGCGGAGGAGGAGACGGCGGCGGCGGCGGCGAGGGCGGCGGCGGAGGCGGAGGCGGCGGAGGCGGCGAGGGTGGCGGCGGAGGAGGAGGCGGCGGCGGAGGCGGCGAGGGTGGCGGAGGAGGCGGCGGCGGCGGAGGCGGCGAGGGTGGCGGCGGCGGCGGCGGAGGCGACGGCGGCGGCGGAGGCGGCGGCGGCGGAGGCGGCGAGGGTGGCGGAGGCGGCGGCGGCGGAGGCGGCGAGGGTGGCGGCGGCGGCTGCGGCAGAGGCGGAGGCGGCGAGGGTGGCGGCGGAGGTGGAGGCGGCGGCGGCGGAGGCGGCGGCGGCGGAGGCGGCGAGGGTGGCGGCGGAGGAGGCAGCAGAGGCGGAGGCGAGGGCTCAGAGGTCAGCGGAGGTGGCGTCAGCGGCGCGGCTGCAGGCGGTGGTGCGGGGTCGGCGCGCTCGTACAGAAGCGGAGTCGCTGAGGGCGGACGAGGCAGCGGCGGCTAGGGGGTCTCCACGCGGGCTAGGGGGCGGGCTCGCTGACTTCGGCCTCCCGGATATCCGCTTCCGGACTCTAGCGTGCCACGAGAGTCGGACGCCGAGAGTCTCGACCTGTAGGCCTCGCGGACAACCACGTCTTCGGCGTCGGCGAGATCATCGACGCCGAGGAGGCGCCGCGGGAGCCAGCCCCTCCACCGCCGCAGCACGGCTCGGAAGCCGTGGGCGACGCCCTGCTCATCGACTTTGGCGGCGAGATTGTGGACGAGGGTGCGGACGACGGGTGCCTTCCGGAGGGGGGAGCGTTTGGCCCCCCGCCCGGTCCGCAGCTCGGCTTGCCCCCGGCGCGCAGCTTGCTCGACGAGTTCGATTTTGAGGCACCGGGTGCAGGTGCGGCCGAGGGGGCGCCGGCGGGCCTGGCACCAGCACCCGACGAGACGTTGGGCGTGGCGTTTGATAAGTCGGAGCCTGCCCTCGAAGCGCTCTTCGGAGGTGCGATGCCAGACCCCGCCGCGGCCCTTCCGGCTTGCGCGGGAGATTTGTCGGAGGCGTCGCGGGGGCTGCCGCTCTCGTCGTGCGCGTCGGACGACGAAATCGTTGACTAGATGAGGAGGTCTCGTGTTGTGTGTGTGACATGGTGTGTGTGATTCGGTGTGTGTGTGGTTGAGTTGTAAGGATGCTGTGCGAGAGCCCCGACCTGGTCATCTCGTTAAACCGACCCTAGGAGTAGCACATCACACCATCACAGACTGTCTCGCACAGCAGGCGCGAGCCCTGGCCCCTGCCGCCGCGAGAGCGCGAGTCAGAGGTGTCGACAGACGACACAGCGCAGGCCGCAGCAGCTCTCAGCAGGCGCTACCGGCTAGAGAGTCCCCCCCCCCCCCCCCCCGTCCCGCGCTCGTGCGATTTTGCGGTTTTGGACTCTCTGGGCGCCTCTCGATTTGCCTCTTCCTCCAGACACAGGGGGGGAAATGTTCGACGCCGAGATGTCACCCGAACAGATCTGCCCTCTCGCCCCTCTCGCCTCTGCCCTCACAATCCACTATAAAAGCGCGGCTGGCTCACAGTGACACACGCCGCCCACCCGCCCTCCTCGGAGATCTCGAGTCTGTGCAGCTCCACCTGCTCGCGCCCCGTCACGCGCCGAGCGACGGTCCCACTCTGGCGATGGCCTTGGCGGCCGCCTGGTTGGTGGCCAGCACGACGATGTCGGCGATCTGCACGTGCGCGGGCCGGGTCGCCGCGTAGAAGATGTTGTCGGCGACGTCGGCGGCAACGAGCGGCTCGACATCGGCGTAGACCGCATCCGCCTGTTGCGCGGTTCGGCGATGGGCGTGGAGCGGCCTTCTCCCGCCCTCCCGGCCGGGGCTGGTGTCGGGGGAGGCGAGTCTGTGCGCGCGCCTTCTCCTTTGAGCCGAGCCGGACGGTGGAGAACTCGGTGTTGACGATGCCGGGCGAGATGGCGGTGACGCGCACCTGGACAGCAAGGTCGTGGAGCAGCTGCGGACCAGTTCGCAGAGGGTGGCAGCCGCTGCAGGGGGAAGGAAGCAGAGAGGAGAGGAGGCCGCGCACGAGGCCGTGAGGACGTGCCTCGCCGCCGCTACTGCCGCTACTGCCGCTGCTCTACGCACCGGGGTTGCGATCAGGTCGTGCCTCGCTGCCGTGGTGAAAGCATCGACGGCGTGCTTGGTCGCGCAGTAGACGGAGCCGCCGGCGTACGCCTCGTGCCCTGCGATCGATCCGACGTTGATGAGGTGGCCCTTGCCGCGCTGCTTGAAGCCGGGGACGAAGGCGCGTGTAAAGGCCATGACGGCCGCCACGTTGGTCGTCAGCATCGTCGTGACTGAGGCCATGTCGTTAGCCTCTGCGGGCGAGACGCCGAGAGCCAGCCCTGCGTTGTTGACGAGGACTGATACGGCGGCAAAGCTAGCCGGCAGCGTCTCGGGCAGCGCTGCCACTGCGTCGAGGTCCTGCACATCGAGCTGTACGGTGTGTGACTGCGTGCCGTACTTTGAGGCGAGCGACTCCTGCAGTGCCGATAGCCGCTCCGCACGGCGGCCGAGGAGTACGAGCCGGGCGCCAGCCTCTGCGAATCGATAGGCGCAGGCCTCGCCGATGCCTGCGGTCGCTCCGGTGATGAGGACAACCTCGTCGGCGACCGAGGCGGAGGGGTAGAGTGTAGAGGTCATTGCGTCGGCGGTACGAAGCTGTTGTGGCCGGACAAACAACTCGGCGCCTAAAGACAGGGATTCTCGCGCTTCAAAAAATTCTTCTTCTACCCTTATAAGTCTCTCGTGTCGGCGCCGACGCTCTTGGTTTAACCGTAGAACGTCCCAGCCGAAATCCGCCCGCCGACGATCGATCAGTCCACAATCGTCGGCCCGCAGCGACCCGCAGCGATGGATGCCGCCGCCCCCCCGGCCCCTGCGGCTGACGCGCCGATGCACGACCGGCCTCCGTCGGATGGCTCTCCGGCCTCTCCGGCCGCTGACGCGGCCGCCCATGCTGCTGCCGATCCGGTCCCTCTCACGCTCAGCGATATCCGCACAAGCTACGACAACTTCGAGGTCGCCGGCTTTGGCCAGGTGCAGCCACCACCTGCTTGCCTCCATGTTCACGCTTCGCCCCCCCCTCCCCCCCCGCCCCCCCCCCTTCTGACGCCGCCGTCTGACCTTAGGTGAGGGGCACGACTACCCGCCTGGAAGGCGCTCTCATCAGCAAGTCAATTGCAAACTGTCCCGCCATGCCCACCTACTCCCCTCGGGGCGTGATCGACGCCTTCGTCGGCGATCTGCCCTGGCCGTCTGGCTGCGGGCCTGCGCTCATCGTGCGGACGGTCGACGACGGTCTCCACTACGCTCTCACCCCGGAGGACGTGGAGAAAGCGTTGTCCAAAGCTGCCTGGAAGCGCGCCCAAATGGAGCTGCGCATTCTCCAGCTTCGTGCGCGTGTCGGAGCCGGCTTCTCCACTGTGCCCCGACTGGAGACCGAGCCGCCGACGGTTGGGACAGGCCGCTCCGCGCTTCATCGGGAGCTGTACCAACTTGAGAAGTTTGTCTGGCTCTCGACGCGGCTTGGCCAACCTTGGCATGGGGCGGTGGACCAGCTCGACACCGCTTTTCACAGCGCCCGAGATGCCTTCCGCCGTGAACGCCGGCAGCAACAGGCTGCATGCGTGGAATGCGTGGGCCGCAATGCCGCCGACCTCTTCGCTTGGAACAGCTCGGCGCACGAGAAGGCGACGCCCGTCTCGATTGGGAAGATGGGCGAGTGCGTGTGCGGGGCGACCGGATGCGGCTGCGAGACCCGCTACATGTGCACGCACTGCGGCGCCTTGCTCTTCCCAAAGGAGGCGAAGCGGGCCAAGGCAGTTGGTAAGTACGGGACCAAATGGCAGGGCGGCAAGTTTTGCTGCAGCGGAGGGCAAGTCGACCTGCCGCCAATCCAGCGCGACGAGGCCGTCGATGCCGTTTGGGAGCGCAATCCCGAACTGCTGGCGAAGCATTCTCGCCGACTCAACAACGCGCTGTCGATTGCGTCAGCACCTGTGAACATCCTCTGTCCTCCAGACGGCGGCTGGGCCCCGAGCGTGGTGATCCAAGGCAAGCTCCACCACAAAGTTGGGCCACTCGGTGTTGGCGAGCACGAGACGCCTCGATTCGCGCAGCTTTACGTCTACGATCCGGCTGCCGAGGGTGACAGGATTGTGGACCAGCGCTACGCCGCGTTGCGGATGGACCCGGAGACGTCGAGCGCGGAGAAGGCAAGGCTGAAGGCCGCGCTGCGCGACCTTGAAAGCGCGCTCAAGGACTGCAGCTCATACGGCGCCAGCTGCCCTCCGGTCCCTGTCTTACCCTAACCCTAACCCTAACCACCACTCACCTCTCCGACCTGTTCGCAGTACAAGACTTCATGACGGCTGGCGAGATCTTCGCGCAGGAAGGCGCGACGACGGCCCAGTTTGTCATCGACCCGGACAAGGCGCCTGCGAACGTTGACCAGCGCCAGTACTCTTCAAACTACGGCAAGCGCACGTTCAACGAGGTGAGACCACGCCACCTCACCCCTGCCCTTGCGCCGTTGCTGCCCTTGCGGCCGCCACCCTCACTGCTGCCCGCCCTCGCCGCCTTCCTCCCTCGCCGCCCCGCCGCTTTGGTGCCCGTTGCCCTCACCGCCGCCGCACCCTCGCCGCCACCCTCGCCGCTACCCTCGCCGCCGCCCGTTGCCCGAGCCGCCCCCGCCCGCTCCGCCGCCAGACCTGGATGCACCTGGAGCCACCGCCTCCGCTACCATCCGAGCCGCAGCCAGCCTCGCCGCCCGAGCCGCCCCCCCAAGCCGCCGCCGCCCGAGTCCCGAGCCGCCGCCGGGCCATAACCCTCTGCCGCCGTCGCCGCCGTCGCCGCCGCCCTTGACACCGGCGCCGCCCTCGGTTCCTCGGCGCCGATGCCGCTGCCGCCGTCACCGTCGCCGCCCTCGCCTGCTCCCACCCTCGCCGCCGCCGCCGCCGCCGCAGCCGCCGACCTCGACAGCCGCCTCTCGCCGCCGCCCTCGACACCACCGGCCTCGCCGCCCTCCCCCGCGCGCGGCGGCGACGGGCCGGGGCGCCGACTGTCGGTCGCCGTCACTGACCGTCACCGCCGCCGCCACCGCCGCGCTCTTAGGTAACGGTGGTGTGCGATGAGCGTGACTTGCGCCGTTGCGTCCTGCTCCGCTTCCGAGAAGGCGGTCTGTACGAGACTGACGAGACGAACCGAGCGTACGATCCTCTGCATTTTGTGCTGCTCTTCCCGTGCGGCGATGACGGCTGGCATCCGTACATGCCACTGTCCAAGCCGGCTGATTCCGGTGACGCTCCATCCCGTGATATAAATGACATGCCTGCGCGGCACCCTGCGCTCTCAGGTTGATCAGATGACGGCTCAAGGCAGCCCGAGGGGAACGGCCTAGGAGTTGGTCATCGTGACCGCCAGCCTCCTGGCACCCACGCTCCTCGCCCCGCTTGCATAGAGATTCAGAGTTCCCTCTCTCCTTTTATGCGCAGGCCAACCTGCTGCCGCCGCCGCAGAAATGGAGGAGTTGCCTGCTGCGTCAGAGTGGGAGCCACCTCCAAAGCGCAAGAAGACCCAGGTCTCGCCACAGCAGTATTACGCGCACCGCCTGCAGGTCCGAGAAGTGCGGCACGCATGGCTCGATGCCGCTGGGGACATCCGCGAGGGCCCGGCTATCGATGACGACGGAAGAGTACTTCTTGATGACGCCCTCAACCGCGCTGGACGGCTCTTCCAGGAGTATTGCTGCATGGCGCTCGCAAAGACGGAGACTCAGAGGCTGCGGTGGCACCGGAATCACCAGAAAAAGATTTGTTCGGAGCTCTATCAGCACCTTGCCGATGCGGTGACAGCACACGACAACTCAGCGGGCCAACTGCAGGCCGGGAAGCGCGTCGTGCTGGCCTCGAGCTTCACGGGCGGGCCGCGAGATCAGTACCAGCGCTACCATGACGGGATGGCCGTTGTCCGGAAGAAGGGTTCGCCGTCGTTCTTCGTCACCATGACTTGCAATCCAAAGTGGGACGAGATCCTCGCCGAGCTTCCTCCTGGACAGAAGGTGGAGGATCGGCCCGACCTGACGGCGCGTGTCTTCAAGCTGAAGCTCGACCAGCTGCTACAGGAGCTGTACACGGACGGCATCTTTGGTCGGGTTGTCGCCAGCCTGCACGTGATCGAATTTCAGAAGCGAGGGCTGCCGCACGCTCACATCCTCATCATCCTGCGCAAAGAGGACCGACCAAAGAGCGTTGACGACGTCGACGCCTGTGTCCGCGCCGAGCTGCCGCCGAAGCCCTCGCCCGGCGACTACAGCAACGACGGCGAGTACGAGGCGGCGATGGCGCGGTACAAGGACCTGAACGAGCTGGTCTGCACGCACATGCTGCACGGCCCGTGCGGCGCGGACAACCCCAACGCGCCGTGCATGGTGGACGGGGTCTGCAAGAAGCACTTCAAGAAGAAGTTCAACCAGGGCACCACGTTCAGCGACGGGCAGATCTATCCCGACTACCAGCGCCGCAGCCCCGCCGACGGCGGCCCGACATGCATACCCGATGTCGGCTCCTACAAGAACCGCGTGGTCGATAGCTCCGTCGTCGTCACGTACTCGCCGTACTTGCTCCTCAAGTACCGATGCCATCTCAACGTCGAGATCTGCTTCTCCATGGGCGGCGTCAAGTATCTCTACAAGTACGTCTACAAGGGCCCCGACCGTGCGATGGTCGCCGTGCGCGAGAGAGCCGACGACGTCAACGAGATCGAGATGTACCAGGACATGCGCTCCATCGGCTCCGCGGAGGGCTGCTGGCGGACGTTTAACTTCGACATGTACTCGCGCAGCCCTGTCGTGGCACGGCTGCAGTGCCACCTGCCCAACTTGCAGCGCGTGCAGTTTGCCGAGGGCACGGAGCAGCAGGCTGCAGAGGACGGCCCGCCGACGACCACCCTCACCGCGTGGCTCGACTACCTGCGGCTCCATCCAGAGGCGCGCATCTCAACCGACACGTGGTCGGCGCTGTACTGCGACTTCCCTGAGCACTACACGTACGACAAGAAGGAGAAGGCGTGGAAGCCGCTGCAGAAGTACCCCCCGGAGCCGACTGTCGGTCGCCTGTACGCGGTGCATCCGAGCGCTGGCGAGTCTTTCTACCTGCGCATGCTGCTCCATAAGGTACCCGGCAGCGAAGCGAGCGCTGACGTGTAAGGTGTCTGCGCTGCTCCGGTGCGTGGGGTTCTGCCTCCCCCCTTCTGTGTGGCGAGGTGTTTGCGGCGCGATGCCCGATCGTGCGCGATAGCCTCCCATTGTGCGTGGTGTGTCGGTGTGTCGGTCGTCCGGAGCGTGTGGCGGCGCCGTTGCATGCAGCGACTCTGCTCCACGTGCCGACGACTGTGGACTGACGTGACTGACTGGTAAATGCTTGCGATGCCGATGGATGATCTCCGACAACCCAAAACCAAAATGCAAATGCGGAGTGGCCCCCCTGTGGCGTGCAGATCCTGCGTCTCTCATGCCCGAACAACTGACGGGTCCCGTCGCAGGTCCACACTAGTCTCCCCAAAGCAACTTCCTGGAACCCCACTCTTCATCTGCCGCCTGCGCTGCCGCCTCTGCTGCAAAAGTCGACGCGGCGACCTGTCGGAGAAACTGAAGCTGTCGCCAATGGCCAAGGCGGGCGATCAATACGAGGTACGCACCGGCAATATCTGGAGCCACTGCCGCCGCGACGATGTAAGGGCCGTGACCCGCCTTCTCGATGAAGGTGTGGACCTCGAGCTCCGCAATAAGGTGCCACTCTCACCGCTCACCGCTGCTCACTCTCGCCGCTACACTCTCACCGCTGCTCACTATCACCGCTGCTCACCCATCGCCGCTGCTCACTCTCACCGCTGCTCACTCTCACCGCTGCTCACTCTCACCGCTGCTCACTCTCACCACTGCTCACTCGTCGAGTATCGGCCAAGCCACTGAGCCTCGCTGCTTCTCACTCCACTCGTGGCTCCTGCTGCCACCAGGTCGGGTGGACGCCTTTGCACGCGGCGGCCAACGGCGGCGCCGAGCGAGTGGTCGCGCACCTGATCACCTGCCGCGCCGACATCGAGTCGCGCTGCCGGGCGGGCCGCACCCCGCTCGCCGAGGCTGCACGGAGCGGCCATCTCCCCGTCGTCATGCGGCTCGTGAGAGCGGGCGCGCCGGCGGACGAGGACGCGGTCGCCTGCGCAAAGGGCAGCGCCTGCCGCAGCTGGCTCGCCAGCCGGCGGAGCGGTAGGCATATCTCCGAGGAACCGCAGCACGGCGCGAGGCACGGGCGGGAGAGGCGGTCCGAGCACCAGCCCGTGGGCAAGGGTGGCAAGGCAGGAGGCAGCGGCAGCTTGAGGCGGCACCAGGAGCAGCGCCTTCACACGCTTCGGACTTGCCCACAGGCAAAGGCCAAGCAGCTCAAGGAGCAGAGGGCAAAGGCGCGAGCCGCAGCCGCCGCCACGGCCGCAGCCGCCTCGGCCGACGCGGCTGATGAATCGGACGGCGGCGGCGATACGGTGGCGGTGCCCGACGTGCTGCTCACCGCGGCGCGGGAGCCGCTGCGCTCTCCGGCGTCGCTCTCCTGCGCGCCGCCGCTCTGCTTGCGAGCAAGTGCGCCGCTCGCCCGCTGCGCTGAGGCGCTCAGCGCCGCGGTCTCTCTGCCAGACGGAGAAGGCCACGACGGCGGCGACGGCGGCGACGGCGGCGGCAAGGGCTGCTGCGTGACGGCGACGCATCCAGGTCCCGTCTAGATCACGTCCAAAAGAGCCTGTCAGGCGCGACGCGGCACGTCCTTTGCGTTCTGCTCGACAGCCGCCACCCGCTGCTCCACCTGCCGGCCGAGTTGCGCGGCGCGCTGAGGCGGCGCGGCGAGGCGGTGGTTCTGGTCCTCTCCAAGGCGGACCTGGTGGAGGAGGCGGCGTTGCGGGCGTGGGAGGGCCACCTTCGCCGCATCTGCCCGCACGCGGCGGCCGTCCTCCGCTTCAGCGCCGTCGGCAGGGCAATGGACGTCTCTCGCGCGCGCGCCGGCGCCGGGTCTCGCCGCCGCTGGCTGCACGCCCACCTCACGAGCGAGGAGCTCGTTGATACATAGCCCAGCGCCTGCATCATAGCCCACCTCACGAGCAAGGAGCGTGCGCCTCACGCGCGCCCGCCCGTCGCTCCGACTCACCCTTGCTCGCCGCGTCACCAGGAGCGCGCTAGCGTGCGGCGAGACGCGGAGCGGCTGGCGGAGGTGTGCGGCGCGAGGATGCCTGCGGAGCAGACGGAGCTCGTGCGAGGCGTGAGGAGGGCAAAGCACCAGAGGGCAAAGCACCGCGAGGGAGGGGCCTCGCCGCTGGCGGTCGCGGCGGCGCCAGCGACGCGCGAAATCATGAGCAACGACAGCGACAGCAGCGACGGAAGCGGTGGCAGCGGCGGCGGCGTGGACGGTGGCGCTGGTGACAGCGACATGGGTGGTGACAGCGACGCCGAGGTTGCCGAGGGGCCCGCGGAGCATGAAGAGAGAGCCGTGATGCGTGTTGGCGGCGGCCGCCGCACCGTGATCAGCCTGCTCGGCCGCTGCAACGTGGGCAAGTCGTCGCTGTTCAACGCGCTCTGCGGCGGCCGCAGGCTCGCGAGTGTCTCGCGGCAGCCAGGCCACACCCGACGCGTGCAGGAGGCGGCTCTCTCGGGCAGCCTCGGGTGGCTGACCTCGGGGAACCTCTCGATGCTGATGAACAGGCGGTGCACCTCTCTCCGGGCTTGCTGGTCCGCGACACGCCTGCCCTCGACGCGAGCGATGCCGCCGCGTGGGGCTGCGGCGGTGACGGCGGCGGGGGAGAGGGCGGAGAGGGTGAGGCTGGCGGCATGGCTGCGGCGCGCGTGCGCGAGCTCTGCGGCCTGACCCCTCCCGGCGCCGTCCACTCTCCCTACGCGGCGGTGCGCGCCGCCGCAGAGTACCTTCCTCTGGCGGCTCTGTACGGCCTGCAGCCCAACGAGCTGAGGGCGGCGCAGGAGGAGGAGGGCGGCGACCCGGCGGCGGTATCAGCGCTCGGCCTCTCCTCCCTCTCGCCGCCAAGACGCGCTCCGGGCAACCCTCTCCCTGAGCCTTCCCTCCGCCTTGCGTAGGCCTCTGCTGCGCGCTCGCCGCCAAGAAGGGCTTCCTCCAGAGCCGCAGTGGCGCACCGGACGCGCACCGCGCCGGGCTGCTGGTCGTCAGGGACTGCGCCGAGGGTGCGCTCCCGCTGCTGTCGCAGCCGCCCACGTCGCTGGCACCGCCACCACTCTCTTCGTCGTCACCGCCGCCGCCGCCACCGCCTTCGTCACCTCCACCGTTGCCGCCGTCGCCGCTGTCGCCGCCGCCGTCGCCGCCGTCGTCGCCATCGACGCCACTGCAGTTGCCCCCGACGCCACTTTGCTCCTCCTCGAGAGGCGGCAGCCCGGCTCCTACAGCGCATGGCGGCGGAGGCGAACGCGATTGCGGCAAAAGTGGCGGCAGCGATGGCGGCCGTGGCGGCGGCGGCGACGGCGGCAGTGGCAGCGTCGCTGGCGGCAGCTGCACTCTCATCTGGCACCGTCGCGATCTGCGGCTCGAGGACAACGCTCTCTACCGCGAGAGGAGGGCTTGTGCGTGTTCGGGCATCACCCGCGTGGTGCCAGTCTACATCTTTGACCCTGCGGACTTTGCCCGCGTGCCGTCGTGCGCGCAACCCGCTTGGGACGTGGTCCGTCTATTCACACCCTCTATTCACACCCTCTATTCACACCCTCTATTCACACCCTCTATTCACACCCTCTATTCACACCCGCTTGGGACGTGCTCCGTCCGGCGCATCGCGCCGCCCCTCGATGGCTGCGGACAGCGTCTATTCACACCCTCGGCTGCGAACAGGTCCGAACAGGCCCTCATGCCGCGCGGGCGCTCCTCGCGGCGGTGACAGCTCTGCGTGCTTCGCTGCGCGCGCGCGGTGGCGAGCTCCTCGTCCGGTTTGGAAGGCCAGAGGCGGAGCTTCCTCTGCTCGCCGCTCGCTGCTGCGCTGGCGAGGTGGCGTGGCACGAGGAGGCTGGCTGGGAGGAGCGGCGCACTTCGAGCCGCGTGCGGGAGGCGATGACGCGCGCCGGCTGCCGAGCAAGCGCCGAGCTTGGAGGGTGCACGCTCTTCCATCCCGACGAGTTGCCGGCAGCCGACGAGCCAGCGTCGCGGCGTTCACGGCGCACTATGTACTCACAGACAGAGAGGAGCGTGAACAGGCGCCCGACGAGTGGGCATCCCTCGCCCACCCGCGGCAAAAGTACCCCGCGAAGAAGCGCCGCGGCTCGTCGGGCGCCTCTGGGAAGGCTGCGGACGGCGGCGGCGGCGGCGTTGACTGGGCGCGTCGCCTCGAGGGGATGCCTCGCGTGATGGGCGATTGGCGGCGCGCTGTGCGGTCGCATGGGCCACCGAGAGCCGCCGAGTCCACTTCCGCCGGTCTGCGGGGGCAGAGGTTTCTCTCTCCCGCAGAACTAACGGTGGAGCTGGGACTATGCTTCCGGCGAGTTGCTCTTAAGAAGGCACCCACACTCACTCCATTGCGCAATAGGGGTTGGGTCTGGAGCTTGGCGAACTGCCCTCGCTCGCTCAGCTTGTGGCGCCCGCTCTCGAAGTTAGTCCCAACGGCCGGCTCCTCTTCGGTTTGCCGGATGGGGCCGCCTCGAGTGTCGTGGCGGCCGCTCTTCGCGCGGGAGGGCCCGCCAGCAAGGACGGTAATGGTGGCGGCAGGGGGGGGGAGGGCGGCGCCGAGGTCGGCAGCGAGGGCGGAGGCGGCATCAGAGGCAGCGGTGTGGAATGCTCCACCGCCACTCTCGCCACTGAGCATGCTGCGCTCTCCCGGCTGCGCCGCTTCGTGGGGAGCGGGATGGCGGCGTCGGCCGACCGGCACATCGCGGGGACGGGAGAGGCCGACTCGTCGCTGCTGGGCGTGCCGCTCGCGCTGGGCTGTCTCTCGCCGCGGCAGGTGCACGAGGCGGCCGCGGCCACGGAGGGGTGCGGCTGGCTTGGCTCGCACATGGAGATGCGGGACTACTTCATCTACGCGGGCATGGCTGCCGGGGCAGCCCTTTTCAGCAGCCGCGGCTGGAGGCCGGTCCATGGGCGCAAGGGCTTTCCCAAGGGAGGCGAGGCGCTGGTCGAGTGGCTGCAGCCGGCGCAGCACGAAAACGCCTGGCACAGCCGACGGGTGATGAGCTGCCCCAAAGCCTTGCGACTGGTGGAGGTCACGTGTACGATGCGTCCCGTAGGCGACGATGGGCGACGGGCCATACCGGCCTCCCACTCGTCGACGCGGCGATGCGGCAGCTGCAGCAGACGGGTTCGACTGCTCGCGTGCAGCTCAGGAGTCAGCGGCGGCGCGTCCCTCACGTTTTTCGTGCGTTGCGGGGCTCAGGCTACTGTTCGAACCGCGTGCGGCAAAACGCCGCCTCCCTCCTCGCGAAGGATCTGCGCCTTGACTGGCGGGCTGGCGCCGAGTGGTTCCAGTGGCTGCTAACGGACCACGAGGTAGGAGTGGAGTCGGTAGCAGGCAGCACAACACGAGGTACACGTGTGCATGCACTCTTTTACATAGGTCAGCGCAAATTGGGGTAACTGGAGCTATTTCGCCGGCGCTGGCGGCGACCCAAAGCAGCGACACTTCCGCACCGTCTCACAGGCCGCAAAGTACGACGCCGGCGGGTTGTACGTGCGCCGATGGCTGCCGGAGCTCGCCGACGAGGCTGTTTGCGTGGAGGCTGTGCTGCGGCCGTATGCGCACGCGGTTGAGGGCTGGCCTTCCCCTCTCGTTGACCCAGACACGCAACTGACTTGGCAGGATGCGCAGCGCCTCTCAGAGACGGGGCGGGTTTTACCAGCGGGCCCAGACCCGCATAGACAGCCC